GGCTCCGGCCGCTGCCGCTCTACTCGCTGCTGCAGTACGACTGAGGCACACGGGGGACAGCAGGGACACCGCGGGGGACAGCGGGGATGCTGCAGCCCGGCTGGTACTGAGCACACGCTGCAAACACCTCCGTCCACGTTGTTTTCCAAGGCCCAGAACTAGTTGTGTTTAGTTTTTTTTTACTTTCAAGCTCATCCTTCTGGGAAGGAAGAGTGGTTTTCAGGAAGCATGAGGCAGCTTTAGTGATTTGTTATTACTTTTTTTAAGTGAGCAGAGGGAGACTGGTCTTGGGGGAGGCAGGAGGGGTTTGTAGCATTGCAGGGCCCGGCAGTGCCTGTGGCCAAGCTGTGCATGGTCAGGCTTGGGGGAATGCTTAGGTTTCCAGGGAATGGCAGCCACCCCTCGCCTTGCACATCCCATCCTGCTCCGCTCGTGGCTGCAGGAGCCGGACCCACAGGCTTAGGCAGGGCCTGGCTCTGTCCTGGCAGCAGCTTCGTCCCCATGTGCCAAAGCTCCTCTGCACCTTGGCAGGCTGGGGCTGGTGTCCCCTCTGAACGGGGCTAGAATGCACTGATAAAATAAACGCTGGCTTGATGCTTTTTTAAACAGTCTCGCCTTTCTGCATGCCTTGCAGCACGGGCGCGCTGAGGGCAGAGCCTCGGGCCATGCTGCAAACCAGGGCGCTGGCAGGGACCCAGGAGCTGCCACCCCCAACCTGAGCAGCTCGTGCAGATGAGTCCCTGCAGGGCCACCTCTTCACGGAGGTGATGGAAGGTGCATGCAGGAACGCAGGGCAGGAACAGTCTGGTCTGCGCAAACCCTGGGCCCCAGCTGGCTCCACACAGGAGCAGCGGGACTGGGAGAGTGTGGGATGGGGACAGGGCATAGGACGGGACAGCTCCCACACAGAGCTCAGCGGTCCTACAGGGACCCAGGACCTGGTACCGCTGCAGGAGGCAGCGCCCTTGGCCCTGGGAGCTGGCCCTGGCTTTGTCCCTTGTTCCCAGCCCAAGCTGCACCCCTATAGCTGCCTCTTGGGGTGTCCCTGCTCTGGAAGCCACCCCGGCTGTAGGGAGCTCCTGGGGGAAGGGGCTCTGGCTCTTCCCTGGCCCTGGCCCCAGCTCCCTTTACAAAAGCTGCTTTCAGCTCTGCAGCCCCCTGCTCACTTTTTCCAGCCTGTCTTGCTCCAGCCCTTGGACAAATCCCAGCCCTTGTCTTGGAGAGCCGCAGTGCTCCAGTGGAGCAAGGAGGAAGAGCACAGAGTTAACATAACTCAACTCTATTTAAAACATTTAATACAAAGATGTTTTGACAAGCCCCGCAATCGTTTCCAGCAAGAGCCGGAGCCGTTTCCCTCCCTTAAAAACAGAACGAGGCCCAGAGCTCGAGAACGTCACCACTTTGTGACTTCACTCCTTCCTCCGTGTCACCCTCTTACCATGCCCAGTCCGGCCTCCATCCCACAGGATTTGGTCAATGGAAGAAAACCCCAGTGCCAAACTTGCCCAAGAGCAGGGTCACTTGAGAGGAGGCTGCCTGCTCCCCTCGCTATGGGAGCGGGCACTCCAGGAGCCAGAGTGGCTCTTGAGGGTGGCGAGTTACATCCCGGTGGACAGTGGAGGTGAGGCCTGTCCATTGCAATCCCAGATGTCCCCAAGGATGAGCCTCCCACTCCCTGGACCCTCGGCCGCTCCCACCAGCCTAGGAAATCCCCCCAGTCCCAGGACATTGTCCTGGGTTTGCTACATCTACGGCTCAGATCACATGCAAGACGGCTCAGGGGGCTTCTGCCTCCTTGATGGCCTGGGCGAGTCTCTCCGCGATGACATGGAGGTCCTTGTCCTTGTCCAGTTTGATGTAGGTGTCCGTGCGGATGGGGTGCAGGCTCACCCAGTCGGGCAGCAGCTCCGCGAAGAGGCGCAGGTGCTTCTCCATGTCACCTAAGGGAGCCAGCACGTGAGAGGATCACCCGGCTGCCCAACACCATCCCTCCTATGCGGAGATCTAACTGCCTCTATTGGGGTTACAGCCATTTCTAGTCCCACCAACCCGCTGGTTTCTGGTCTTATCCACTGCTCTGGAACCACCAGGGCTGGATCGCCCTCGGATCAGGTGAGCGTCATCCCAACCTCAACTCCTGGACTAAGCAGCTTCCCTTGCATCAGGGAAGGGACAGAGGAACTTGGTGGCTCCACACTCGGTGCACCCCAGGGTCCTGCAGAGAAGGGTTTCATGTGGAGGGAGGGAGGAAGGGGAGATGCAAGAGGCCCCCAAACATCCCATGCTGGGGAGAAAGCGGCCGCAGTTCCGTACCGGGGGACATCTGCGTGGGGCAGCTGTCACTCATGCGGGCACAGGCCACCTCCAGGCTCAGCGCCTGCTTC